ATCTCTGTGGCCACTGCTGGATGCATCATGAAGAGGGGTGTCATCATCCAGTCCCTGGGTATTCACATCAGCTCCGGCAGCAATCAAAACTTTAGCAACTTCATAACACCCCATATTACAAGCTTCATGCAGTGGTGTCCAACCTGCAAAGAGAGTTTGTGAATACAATGGCTAAGTTATACTGTTTGAGGAATTGCAGGACACAAAGCTATCATGATAAGCAGTTTTAAACATATCACTGCAATGTGACTAACAAAGCTTTTTCTCCCCAGAAAGCCTGTCTTCAATGTAGGAGCTAAATATTATACACTTTTGTATTGCAAAATTTAACAGATGAGCAATAAACACCCTTAACAAACTTATACAACATGAACCAATTAAGAGATTTTAAATAGGGAGATAAGGAAGTCTATTCCCCATATAAATACATTCCAAAAAATAAATTTATCGCAGCATGCTTCTTGCCAGTACATTAACTGAATGGCACCTTGTGCTGCTTCTTCCTCACACATCAGCTCTAAACAGGGAATGCAAGACTGATACCAGGTCAAATTCAGGTACGTACACTGCTTGCATTTAAAAAATACATTTATTGATGTAAAAACGATTAATGATCTGCATTAATGCGTCCTCTATATTTGCATAGAGTTCATCCATCACAAAATTTAAAATTTTGGCTTCAGACTACACGAAAGCACAAAAATATGTTGTGGAGTAATGTGGCAGTGCGCTCAGTCTTGGGACAAGGTCATCCAGTGGCCAGAGAAGGGATGACCCCCAGACACTGCTGCTAAGCAAGTTGGAGAGGAGTGCTGTCAGATAAGGACAGCATTTGGGACAGTGCCGTCAGCTTTTTAATACAGGAAATCTGTCAGGTTGCTTATCTACTTCATTCTGATACAGGCATGGGGCCGTCTAGGGAGGTGGCCAAGCATGTAAAATGGCAGCAGAAAGATGCAGGTAGGGGGTAGGTAAGAAAACCCTGCTCAGTCCTGATCAGAAAGCAATTACCAAAACCAATGACTGTGTGCATACGGGAGCACTGCACTGGCAGGAAGGAGGAAAGAGAACACAGCTTAGACCCCCTACTGGTTCTCTCCCCTCTACAGCATTGGCTCATCACTTCCTACACCTAGCTGATGGGAGTAGTGTTGCTGCAGTCTTTACTCCTGTCAGCCTGTAGTATTGAAGGATACTTGCCATGTGACAGCTCATATACTGTACCAGAGGTAGTGGCCCCTCATATCTGTCCTCACCCCCTTGTCTCAGACCACAGTGTGCAGCCATGGCTGCAGCAAGCGAGTTTTGCAACAACGGTGTCTAAAATATTGCTTAGTGACATTTATTATTACCTGCAAAATCTTTAACATTTACATTTGCACCAAGACGAATGAGCTCTTTCACTTGACTAAGGTCTCCTCGTATAGCTGCCATATGCAAAGGAGTTTCTCCACGTTCATTTCTTTTATTAACTTTGTCCTTCTGCCTTGTGGAAGATGTGGGGGTTTTTCTTTTGAGTTGGTGTTGCTTGCGAAGGATGATTTGGAGTAGAGTCTGTGGATATGAAAACATATGGAAGCAATTCTAATATAAAGCTACTAGTAGGTAAAAATAGAAAAAGTGTCCGCTAAAGCAGCAGTTCTCTACTGCTCATCTGCCAAATATGCTGAGCAGGGCGGCACTTTGATTTCCAACCAAAATGCTCATTTAAACCACAGAGCATACTTACATCTTAGCTATCCTTGGTGGATAAGTATTACATAAACTGCTCTCACCAGAGACTGGTAGATCTGCTAAAGGGCCCCTGTCTTTCGGTTCACACAGAGGGAGATCGAGCTATTTCTTAACAAGGAAGAAAATCAAGCTTCAAACTATTTGTCTACATTTACCCAATTTATTTTTCCCCACAACAAAAAGATCCACTTTATACCTAACCGTATTTTTTCCAAAACTTCTGGCAAATAGTAGACAGTTCCTAAATGAGCCCTTACTACTCTTATGTAGTGATTTTCAGTTCAGAAATTTATTTTCACATTCAAGATTTCAATTAGGGCAACAGAAGACAGAAGCACCTAGAATCACTTGTTTGACATTGCCTTTACTCAGGCAAGGCATGGATGCACCCAATAATAAATGTTCATTTGGTACAACTTCTAGCAAATGAATCAGGAAAAGAAAAATCTCTCTCTCTCTCTCTCATATATATATATATATATATATATATATATTTTATATATACACACACACACACACACACACACACACAATTGTGTTGAAAATCATAGCAGTGTGTTGAAAAAGTGAATAAAGCTCAAAATCCTTCTAATGGCTTTTATTTCCATACACACAAATGCATTGGGAACACTACACATTCTATTCCAAATCAAAACATGAAGAAAAATATATCAAATTTGTGTTGTTCCTCTAAAAAAAAATTGAAGAAAAGTGAATATTAGACTGTTCAAAAAAATAGCAGTGTTTGTATTCTTCTTTACAAACAAACATTCACTATATAAACTGAAAAATGTTTGAAGATTTTGCTTTCCTTTGAATCACTTAATTAATATTTAGTTGTATAAGCACTGTTTCTGAGAACTGCTGTACATCTGTGTTGCATGGAGCCAACCAACTTCTGGCACCTGTGAACAGGTATTCCAGCCCAGGATGATTGGACTACATTCCACAGTTCTTCTCTATTTCTTGGTTTTGCCTCAGAAACTGCATTTTTGTTGTCACCCCACAAGTTTGCTATTGGAGTAAGATCCGGGGATTGGGCTGGCCACTCCATAACATCAATCTTATTGGTCTGGAACCAAGATGTTGCATGTTTACTGGTGTGTTTGGGGTTGTCTTGTTGGAACACCCATTTCAAGGGCATTTTCTCTTCAGCATAAGGCAGCATGACCTCTTCAAGTATTTAAACTGATCCATGTTTAAATACTTGAAGAGGTCATGGGTAGACCACTGTAATTCTGTCTCTCCTCCCCTAGCTTCTTCTTCCCCTAGCTTAGAACAGAGGGAATGTGTTCACGTATGTTTTTTATATTTATACACAAATGTTCTGCCATCAATTTATCTTTTAAACTGATTGGGTTGTTTTACAAGGTGAAGATTTACAATCACTTAAAATCTCCCATAAAATAGCTGTCTAAAGAAGGAGGAAGCGAGGGGGGATTTACATAGGTCAGTGAATTTTAGTTTGAGCTACTAAACTGTTTAAAGAAGCATCTTTCAACACAGGTGCTAAAGAGATCCTAAAAAATCAGTGAAAGGGGTCCGAGAGCAACAACCTAAAATGGGCAAAACACCAAAAAATATTTGTCACATAAAGACTCTAATAGGACAGCTTCATGGGTATATATGGCGTAGTTCAATTACCTAAATGTCTGAAACATTTCACATTGTATCATTACTCTCAGCATAAAGGCAGTCTTTAAAATTACCATAACAAATACAATACAGGATGCACGTTTACATTAGGCCAAAATGTCAAATAGGTTTCAGAATGAAAAAATTACAACTTTAAGGATCTTTCAATTATTGAAGCAAACCTGTGCCCAGTAGGTTTCATGAAAAAAAACACAAAATATACAAATTGTGCTTATAAATGTAGAAAAGCATCTCTACAGGCAGTGAAAACACTACATTGTATCTGTTGTATGCAACACCATCACAGAGTTTGTATCCTAGCAAAAAAGTGGTGGAAGCAGGCTGTCAAACATCTCTTGCAGTGAACTTGCACATGCTTCATGAGTAAGCTCATTCAGTGGTCATAGCCACCACTGAAAGTACCCCATGAGCAGGAGGCAAGACAGAGAAAGTCAGCAAACAGAAAATAGGGAGTGGCGACTGTTTGACTTGCCTGAGTCATATCTGCAGAAACGCACATACTGATTCAAATTATAAGATGAACTAGAAAAGCTACAATTTCTGGGGAAATTGTGTGAAGTGTTCTTGCCTCCATCAGTACTCTACAACTGGAGTGGGCAGAGACACTGAGTGGAGTGGCTTCAGTAACTGTTGTGTGGTTGGAGTGGCTGGAGTAACTGTGAAAAGGTTGGACTGGGCAGAGTAACTTTATGGAGTGGGCAGAGTAACTGTGTGGAGTGTTTGGAGTGAGTAAAGATCGTAAACATTACACTAACCAATTGATTGATCAAATTTAAAAAGTGCACATGGCAAGCTTGATAGAGTAAGAAATCCATTTCAACTTTTAATTATTTATATAGCACATTTAATTGCAATGTTGTTGCCCAAAGTGCTTCACAGTTACATTAAAACATACATTTATAAAAACATTAGCAGCATTATCACCTCAAATACTCTCTACTGTAGAAAACGTATTTCCAAACCTTTAACCAGATGCCGGCCAAACTGTCACAAATTCAAAATTAGATTTCAAATAGGGCAGAGAAGAGTGGTTAAAAACAAACTGCTCCAAATTGCTCACTTCACTGGCGTCTTCAAATGGTCGTAGTTTTAAAAACTATAAATCCTACAGTGAAGAGCTTTATATTGTGAGAATCACAAGACCCAGACCTACATTTTGATGCATAGTATGTCTCTGAAATATTAAAAATGAAGGCACAGAAGCAGTTTAGAAATTGCCCTTCAAATTTGAGGCGGCTAGAGTGCAGTTTCAATCAATGTCAATGGGCGGCGTGAGTTGCAAACAAATGGTCATATTGCGAAAACTATCAGGACTATGGCTTAGCCGTGGACATTTTTAGTGGCAGCAGGGATAGCTGAACGTTTTAATATAAGATTTGTGTAGGTGGGCTTGAAAATGAGGGAGTGGTGGCAGTTTAGAAATCATGTCCTGATTTTTCAGCTCACACTCTAGCTTTTGTCACTCTGCTGCCTGCTCACACACCAGGGTTCCTATGGCAACTCACTCTACAGCAAGGGCAGAGAAGAGCAGTTAAAAACAAACTGCTCCAACTTGCTCACTTCACTGGCGGTTGCCATCTTCAAACGGTTGTAGTTTAAAAATTATAAATCCTACAGCAAAGAGCTTTATATTGTGAGAATTACAAGACCCAGACCTACATTTTGATGCATAGTATGTCTCTGAAATATTAAAAATGAAGGCACAGTGGCAGTTTAGAAATTGCCCTTCAAATTTGAGGTGGCTAGAGTGGAGTTTCCATGAATGTCAATGGACGGCGTGAGTTGCAAACAAATGGTCATATTGTGAAAACTATCAGGACTATGGCTTAGCTGTGGACATTTTTAGTGGCAGCAGGGATAGCGAAACGTTTTGATATAAGATTTGTGTAGATGGGCTTGAAAACGAGGGAGTGATGGCAGTTTAGAAATCATGTCCTGATTTTTCAGCTCACACTCTAGTTTTGAACATTCTGCCATTCATTCCTATGGGACCAATTTCACCACAAAAACGCTGATATTTTGTGAACCATTTGGCGAAACGTTCCACAAAGTAATAGCACACCAATCGGGAACAATCCACACGTTTCGGTATATTACTGTCTATGTAGTGTAAAAACTGTGGGAGGAGTTAGGGTGGTAAATTTGGCAATAATAATAAGAATATACAGTCAGGTCCATAAATATTGGGACATCGACACAATTCTAACATTTTTGGCTCTATACACCACCACAATGGATTTGTAATGAAACAAACAAGATGTGCTTTAACTGCAGACTGTCAGCTTTAATTTGAGGGTATTTACATCCAAATCAGGTGAACGGTGTAGGAATTACAACAGTTTGCATATGTGCCTCCCACTTGTTAAGGGACCAAAAGTAATGGGACAGAATAAGAATCATAAATCAAAACTTTCACTTTTTAATACTTGGTTGCAAATCCTTTGCAGTCAATTACAGCCTGAAGTCTGGAACACATAGACATCACCAGACGCTGGGTTTCATCCCTGGTGATGCTCTGCCAGGCCTCTACTGCAACTGTCTTCAGTTCCTGCTTGTTCTTGGGGCATTTTCCCTTCAGTTTTGTCTTCAGCAAGTGAAATGCATGTTCAATCGGATTCAGGTCAGGTGATTGACTTGGCCATTGCATAACATTCCACTTCTTTCCCTTAAAAAAACTCTTTGGTTGCTTTTGCAGTATGCTTTGGGTCATTGTCCATCTGCACTGTGAAGCGGCATCCAATGAGTTCTGAAGCATTTGGCTGAATATGAGCAGATAATATTGCCCGAAACACTTCAGAATTCATCCTGCTGCTTTTGTCAGCAGTCACATCATCAATAAATACAAGAGAACCAGTTCCATTGGCAGCCAGACATGCCCACGCCATGACACTACCACCACCATGCTTCACTGATGAGGTGGTATGCTTAGGATCATGAGCAGTTCCTTTCCTTCTCCATACTCTTCTCTTCCCATCACTCTGGTACAACTTGATATTGGTCTCATCTGTCCATAGGATGTTGTTCCAGAACTGTGAAGGCTTTTTTAGATGTCGTTTGGCAAACTCTAATCTGGCCTTCCTGTTTTTTGAGGCTCACCAATGGTTTACATCTTGTGGTGAACCCTTTGTATTCACTCTGGTGAAGTCTTCTCTTGATTGTTGACT